TCATAATTTAGTATCAAGAAACATAGCATTTTATGGCCATAGCTTTAAAATTCCCAGGTTGGTTTTGCATTGCCAAGAGAAAATAATTTGATGAAAGGCCATTTTAGTAATGCTTATCGTGATCTCTTCTACTTCTGTTGCTGTATTTAGTCAATAACTCACTGAAAAGTCACTTAGGTGTTTACGTATAGAAGAGAGGTGGTTCTCCCCGGCTGGCTGCTAAGTGGTTAGAGCCTCATCCCTCAGAACAAAGGGTCATGAGTTCAATTCCCAGACAAGGGCACGAACCCGGGTTGCAGTTTTGATCCCTGGTCTCTCTCTATCTCTCTGTGCCTTTCTCTTTCTCTCTCCTTCTCCCTCCCTTCCACTCTCTCTGGGAAAAATATCTTCAGGTGAGGATTCACACACACACACACACACACACACACACACACACACACACACGAACAGAGGTTTTCAATTCCTAAATGTTTAGTTTTAGAAAGCATTCCATATCCCTTGCCATCAGATTATAAATTCAGCCAGCCAGCCACTAATTTGTTTGTGTTCCTATTAGATGTGGTACTAAGTTTAACAAGAACAATAAGACACTTCCTTTCTGAACTCACTCTCAAATGAGCAAGAAATATTACAACAGCATAGCTACCTAAAATAAAATCGTTATCACCTCAGAATTCAGATGGGATTTTCATAGGTGTATGTATCTAACTGCCGGAAGCCAATTCCAGCATGACAGCAGGGCTGAATCATCTGGAGTGGCAAGGGCATTGCCCCAAACCTGAAAAAGATGCATTAAATTGATTGTTTGCTGCCAGACAGCTCAGGGCATCTTAATCTACATGTTATTGCCTCCTACTGGCCAAACATCTGAACAGCCCGTAGGCTAATTCTCCCCATTCTGACAATGGATTGTGTATACAAAACCCTACCCTTTGAAGTGTATATCTCTGCCTTGCTTCAGGACAATTTGTGTTAATAAAAAGCATGGGGTCCTGAGACTAAGAGATCTTAGCTCCTTTTAGCTAGGCTCCTCTGACCCCCAAATGCCTTTCAAAATTATATTTCATCTCTGGACTCTTAAGTTACACACAGCCCCTTTTCCAGATTGCCGAAACCCTTCTTAATGCTAGAACAAGAACCCCGGCATCTAACCAAGGAATGTAACCAATAAGTGATTTAAATGAAGATTTTCCCTTGACATATTGCCAAATGGATTGCCAATGGTGCCCCAAAGAAGCACAAATCATGAAACCAATGCGACACTGCCTTTTCTAAAGTTTGTCTGTTTGTACATAAGCTGAAAGTCAACATAGTCCATTGGACAATACCAGCCACATCCACATTCAATAAGGTACCAAGCTAAGAATTGTATGCATTTCTAATTGCACAAAAGTCTCTACACCTATATGTCCTCAGATATATGAAACTATCAGCATGTTTAAAAATGAGCTTTTAAAAAAGAAAATCCTGAAACTAGCTCTTCTCTGCCTATACTCCGTATTTCCACACCCAGCCTGTCTTCTAAGCTAGGCCATGGCATCCTCTCTCACAATCACCCCCACAAGCAGTTAGTCAGTAAGTGCTATAGATTTTATCTCAGAAATGCTTTTTGAACAGAGCCCCTTTGATTCATCACTTCAGGGAAGCCTTTATTATTTTTTACCCATAGTACTAAAACATCTCTTAATTGTTCTTTAAATCAATCTTTTCTTTTTCAGTCTGTCCTCCACACTGCTTCCAGAATGATTGTTCTGGATGATAAACCTCATTATTCTACTCCCCCGTATAAAACCTTCTCTGGCTTCCCACTGCCTCCAGGACGAAGTTCAGACCACTTGGGGTTGCACACAAGACCCTTAACAACTGCCTCTTCTGACTCACTTCTAGAATCCTCGTCCTGCCCATCTTAGACATTGGCCACCCAAAAGTTTTGTTATTCTAGGATACGCCACAGAATCCCATGCCTCTATGGCTCTGTACATAACAGCCCCTGTTCTTGGAATGCAATTTATTCCTTCATCTAGGAGTGTTAGGAACCGTGCTGTGTGAAGGACACACAGTGGTAAAGGAGTCAGCCAATTGCTCTTGCTTTCATGGAACTTACAGATTTGAGAGGTCACAGACATGCAATAGAGTGTGTGCTATAAAAGAATTGCTGCAAGTTAGTGCATGGACATAGAATAAAGACATTTATCATCATCCATGAGATCAGACCTCTTTGTGGCAGTAACAGCAGCTAAGCAGAGTTTAGGTAGGAGGTGCAGGTGGGGGAAAAGGGAAGAATGTTCCAGGAAAATAAATGCAAATTGAAGTCTTGTCAAGAGGGTGTGGGCATTCAAAGAACTGAGAGGAGTTCAGTATGGCTGAAATTGAAACCAGGGCAAGAGTAGCAAGAGATGAGGCAGAGAGAAATCACATCATGAGGCTGCTTTAGGTCATGTCGGGAAAACTTGGCTTAAATAGCATCTCCTTAGGCATGTCTTCCCTGTTTTTCCAAAGCAGATTTAGTTGCTACCATATCTGTATTCCTACAGGTCTTTGTTCACTCACCCACTGTAATAATTCTCTCTGCAATACCTGTTTGAAAAAAAAAAAAAGATATCCGTGCAAATCTATAAGCCTCTTGAGGCATCAGGAACAATATTATATTTGTCATTGTATCCATAGTTTAGTGCAGACTACTTAAAAGTATTAGGTGTTTGGTACACATTTGATGAATGAATGATAAATTAATGAATGAGACTGGTTCAGAAAGGCAAGGATTAGAGCAGTGGTTCTCAACCTTCTGGCCCTTTAAATACAGTTCCTCCTGTTGTGACCCAACCATAAAATTATTTTCGTTGCTACTTCATAACTGTAATGTTGCTACTGTTATAAATCGTAATGTAAATATCTGATATGCAGGATGTCTTAGGCGACTCCTGTGAAAGGGTCGTTCGACTGCCAAAGGGGTCGCGACCCACAGGTGGAGAACCGCTGGATTAGAGATTTATGTGTAGTCATATAAATTCTCATGAGACCATACCTAACAGCCTTGGTCTAAACTGGCTTGGATATAGTGTGGGGAAAGCCTGAATCTGTAGGCTAAAGGGTATTGAATAAGTACACTTGGGGAAGTTCAGAAAAGTTCAAAACCTGATAGTCATCAGTTTTTAACCTTGGCTGCACACTAAAATGATCTGGAGTGCATTTAAAAATGATTAATGCCTACGACCCACCCCAAACAAACTGAAACAGAATATTCGGAACAGTGTGTTCTCACCCTGGCTGTAGATATATTGGCATCACCTGAGAAGCAATAAAAACCATAGATCCCTGGGGTCCCACCCCCGCAGGGTCTGATGTGATTGGCACAGGGTGGAGTCTGGGCATGAGGCTTTTAAAAGGCCTCCA